AAGAAAGAAAGGAATCTTCGGGTTTTCAATGATAAAACCCTCCCTTTTGGAAACTTTTTTGATAGAATTTTTGTTTTAGCCTTGGGTTGGTGTAAATGTTTCTACCTCCTTTCAACAATTACTCTTTTAATGATCTTATGACAAGTTGGAGAGCTTTCTTGTAATTGCCTTCGGGGCCTTTTGTATATTTCATACCATCAATGAAATATTTGTTTCATATTAAAAAAAGAAATAATTGGTTGATTCTATATCTTAGTAGACAAAGATACTTTATCTACAAACCTATGTACCATGAGAACTCCCGTGGTAAGGGTAACATACTAGCATCCACTGCATCCAAAAAAGCAGAACAGGATGACACATGTTGGATACACGATAATAAATATAACTTTTTCCTTTAATGTCAGACATGGCAAGCATGGAGAAGACATTTTTCTCTAAACGCAAACGAAGCTTTTCATTGATTCTACGAAAAGTACTAAAGGAAAATCAATATGAACCCCAATCAAATGAGCTCACAAGAAAATAGCTCCAAGACAAATAAACTACAAACGGTGAACCATTAAAGAAAGATTTAAGCTAAATAACACCAAGTAGATGCCATAAAGTGTGCCCATGCCTCAATCCTATCGAACTTTTTTTATTTCTTAGTACAATATGTGGGTGTGGGGATTCGAAGTTGATTGAAGGTATGTGCCAATTACCGCTGAGCTAAGCTCGCTTTGGCCTCATTTCTATCAAACTTACCAACCAATTTTTTATCCCTCTTCGAACTATGGCGTCTCTCTCCACTTTCCTTTCCCCTCTTCCAAAACTGACCCCAGACCAGGCTCCTTGTCCCTTATTTCATTGCCAATCTCCTCCACCATGGAAAGTTCTTTTTAATCAATTGTTAAGCTTAGCTTTCACTCATTAGTTGTTCCCAATGGTGACTCTCTCACCTATCACGTCTTTTGTGCTGTTGAAAAAAATAGCTCAAGATAACTTTAGATGTTCATTTTAGAGGTCATTCCTATCTCATGTCAGAGATTGAAGTGTTCAAATCCTTTTTTATGCCGTTTGCACCAACATCTATCAAGTGGCTTTGCAGTGTCTTCAAAAAACCTTATCAGTACTTCAGATACACCAAGTTCTTTAATGAATCAAGATGAGAAAGACAATCTTCTTTGAATTGGAAAAAATCAAACCAAAAAGGTTGCATGGCCAAAGTTCACAAATTGACAATAGAGGGAGAAAATGTTGGGTGATGGTTCAGAATGATATGATAAGCCAGGTTAGAAAACCTTTCGCCATTTAATACTTATAAATATGTATGCTCAAATAGTGAGTTTATGCCAAATCAAGTCTTTGGTACTTTTGGCAAGCTTATAGTCAGCTATTTGCTATTTTACAAGACAAAAGAATTGAACGATTTCTCAAATGGTTGACCAAGCCCCATGACACTCACCTCACTGGAACACTTAAAACAAAATTTCCAACGCCATGATGCTAACCTAGCTCTTTAGTGTCACAGACTCACAGCAATGTAAAAAGGGAGAAGAAAGGAGGATAGATAGAACTAGCACACACAATAAAGAGCATTGTTGAAGGATGAAAAGGCCACTCAAGGATGCCGGAAAACTAGTTAGAGGCAGAGATTATAAGGATGAAGTTCTCTGCATGTAAAATACCTATTCACAACCCATAATTTTCAATACAACTTTAGTTGAATTAAAAAATAGGTCCAAGAGAAAATAACTATTAAATACCATTATCCACACATATTGTCACTAACCTTATTTTTTTAAAGAAAAAAAAAAGAAGTTTTGAGCACAACCACCAAACTCCAAATATTGCAAAAATTAGAATCTGTATATGATATTGATATTATAAACAAACTGATTTAATTCTTATCCTAAAACACAGAAGATGATTCCATTACCTATCCATAGCAGACTTTTTAATGGAAGCATCAGCGCTGTGATCGATACTCTCGGTCTTCTGCTGATGCTGATTACTAACACTGCTGGTTGGCAAGTATTCACACTGGGGAAGCCTGAGAATTCTGAAAGCCATTGTAAAAGTTTTCATAGTCAAACAATAGCAGTACATACTCCATGATAAGCACAAATAACTTTTAATGAATTTATCCAGGGTTTGGGCTAACAAACTATACACGGCATAGAAATATCAAATTTTATCAAATTTTTTACTTCAAAATAATTGCACCTGCAATATGCCTTATTAATGAATGGATTAATGTTAAAGAAAATTCCAAAGTTCCAAAACACATTTGCGTTTTTTGTTTTCAGACACCTGAAATTACGTTAGCGATTATATAGTAACTAATAAGTTTTCAAGCCTATCAGACTTAAAAATTATCATATTTTGAAAACCAACTGCTATCCCCAAGAAAGGGAAATCCCAAGTGGATGCATTGGATAAAATAAGATGATACAGGTCAAGTTCTAATATACTCAAGATTCACAGGGACCACATCTTTCTAACTTGAAATTTTCCTTATGATATTATTCTCCCTAGGAAATTTAGGTATATGAATAAAGCTCGTTCTATCTTCAAGACTAACAGAACAACAATGCACAATTACTAACTACCCACCGTGACCCACACATCAGTTAATAGTTGGAAATAATCACACCAAGTACAAGGGTATGCTGATTAATAGTGCTGAATGATATAGACATCAACATACCGTGTACAATGATTGCAGTAACCCCAAGATTGCACAAGGCCAAGCCCCCAACCGCCACATCCCATGCATTTGTTTAGCTCAAACGATTGCTCCTGCCAATTCCCATTGGTTGAACTTGTAGAAGCCTCACTGATCATTTAGACACCAAAACCAACAAAATGAAGAATGAAGTGTGAGGTTTTATCCAAATAAAATCTTGCAGTAAGAAAACAGTTGGGAAATGACCATATTGTTAGTTGGCAGATTGTGTCTAATATACGTGTATAAGAGGAAGGAGGGGGAAAAATTGACGTACTTAATGGAGGATAAATTGTATATCTAAGCCCTTAGTCAGAATCTAAATGGACGGACAGTAGTAAGTTGGGGAGAAGGAAGTCACACTTTTGCTTAGTGTAGAGTAATCTAGAAGGATGAGAGAGTATCAAATTTTCCTAGGCATATCTCAATATTTCTTTGGAACTCTCTAGTGCATTCGTATCTAACTGTCGCTCCATTGCCTTCCCATTAACTCAACAACTCAAGAGAGACCATTTTTGGTGGTTAAAGAATGCAGCAGCAGAACTTCAGGCAGTTCTAGGGCATCTCAATTTCTCAGTCATTCAATTAGGGGATTGGTGTGTTTGGGTCTGGTGTTGGGGTCATTCAAAATCAACATCCAGTTACCAATTTAGTCAAGCTTTACCCCAACACCCCAACGTAAACTGGTTTATGAACCTGAACTAATGGCAACTGTTTCTTTTTTCTAGACAAAACAGAAAATTTACAGTGGCATTTACAGTGGCATCAGTTTGCTCAGGATCTTTGGCATCGTCTCTTTTTATGCTTCGGGATTTCTTGGGTCTGTGCCAGGGATTGTAGGGCTATGATGGAGGAGGTGCTCTTATTCCCCCCTTTTCGGGATAAGGATCGTTTTCTGTGGCAGGCTTGCTTTCTAGATATGTTATGGGGTATTTGGCTGGAGAGGAATCATAGAGTGTTTAAGGGGGGTGGAAAAGTCTGTGGACAATGTTTGGGACATTGTTAGATTTAATACTTCGTTATGGGGCTCGATTTCTCATCTCTTTTGTAATTATTCGCTTGGCCTTATTCTTTTGGATTGGAGTCCTTTTCTTTAGGGGGCTTCCTCTTGCTGGGCTATCTTTTTGTATGCCCTTTTTAGGCCTTTTGGTGTATTTTGTACCTTTTTCATTGTTCTCCATGAAAGTTTTGTAACTTTTGTTTCATATCAAAAAAAAATTATGCAAAATGATTAGAACAGCTTGAAATTTCTCCTTGATCAGTGACAGGTTGCTGGGGAAAAATAAGAAAATTACAATTCAATACAGGACCAACCTAGAGAACGAGGCTGCTAATACACTCTCGAGAATGCCACATACACTGGAACTTAGTGAGTGGTGGCTTAATACACCTCTTATCGTGAGGAAAAAAAAAAGAAAAAACAATGGTGAACATGAGCTTCAGGGTATTAAGCAAGCTATATGGCAGGAAGAAACACCCCAGAAGGCTACTCTTTCAAGGTGAGCTCCTACATTATTGTGACAGGTTGGTTTTATTTATCATCTGATTCTCCCACCATTCCACCTTCTTCATGGAAAGACAAAAGTTTTTATTAATTAAATGAAAATTACAATAGAAGTTACAAAATAACTCCCAATAGATAAATTTAAACAACCCAACTAAAACCAAATACGACCAACACTCCCAGCCAAACTAAAAGCATGGACTGTCAGATGAATGTGGTCAATTGGGAGAAACGTATTTATGTAGTTTTTGCATGCCACGCCCTAAGCATTGGGCTAAGCATGCAACAATAGGCCCCCAACCATAAACATGTACAAGAGGAAGCACGTGGGGGGATTGATGTACTCACAGATGAGTAGGATGTATACGTGGGACTCTAAGTCTATTGGTTAGAATCTAAAAGGATGTGTTAGTGTAGTAGAGATTAATAAGTTGGAGAGGTTCTGATGAAGATGGTGTTTCGTGAATGTTTTTTTTGGTTGTTTTGTTGGATTTTGTTGCAAATTTTGGAGCTTTGGTACCTTCTCAGTGGTTTCTCCTCGAAATTCATTTCTAGTGTGTTCTAAGGAAGCTTGGTGTTCAATATTTATTGCTTTCGAGCCTCTTCATTAGTGACTTCTGATTTCCAATCAAATTGTATTGCTCTACGTTGAGCTTGTCATTTATTACCTTTTTTTTTCCTTTTTCTTTCGCTCCTTCGGGAGTTTGTATCCATATATCAATGAAAAGTTGTTCCTTGTTCCAAAAAAAAAACAGTGAGTTGGAGAGGAGGAATTCATTATTTTTCTTAGACTAAAGTAGACTGGTAGGAGGGGAGAGGTTTGGACTCTCAAACTTCCCTAAATGTAACTCAATACCTCTTTGATCAAATGAGTTTTATTATGTACATCCTCTCTTATACTTTCCAGTTACTTAAAAAAAGACCTTTGTTTCTTTTCTTAGCAAAATAAATATACATATACATATACATACATAGACACACACATGTTGACATGCATATGCATATGCATATATCATTTACCATGTATAACTGTTGCAGTATCTAGAACCCTGCATGAGGGTCATTCCTCTTCCACATGCGATGCATTTATTTTGTTCAAAAGTTTGGTTGTTCCAAACCCCAGGAACGTTACCATTCGAGTGTGTCAAAGTTCCCTGATGAGATGAAACAGGATGCTCCCACTGGGTTACGTGGGTTCTTACATTGTAGTAGTATTTAAGGCCTGCAATCAAATTAAAGGCTGTCAACGGGAACAAAACTGCAAATTATATTATTCAGCAACTTTTTTCTGAACATTTATAATTAATCACTTGTTTGCACTGAACCGAGGAAAAGCACGAATTACAACAAGAACGTGAAGGGGACCTTCATGGTCCCCTAAAGTCATGGGTCACATGGAGAAATACCAGCATGTAACGGGAGTAGTTAAATAACTACCTAGACAATGTTAGTGGCAAGATTGTAAGGTAGTGGGTAGTTGCTTCCTTAAAGTACTTTAAGGACCATATAGTGGGGGGAAATGTGAAGGAGTATCTCCTCTATAAATAGGGTGATCAGCTTATGACTAGTGCAAGCAGTTCATTCCATACACTTGTATCACCTTGGAGAGAATATGAGTGAAATTCTCAAAAATAGGATTTCCCCATACTTGACTTGGTGTGCAGCCTTCAGTTTGTGTGTTGTGTTATTTGTGTGCGTGCATCCCATGTCCCCTTCTGTTGTAGGTTTAATAAGACTTGGTATTAATGCAACAAGGCAAAAAATTACCCTTTGATTTTAGCCTTCTGATACTTGGATTGATATTCGATGTGATTATAAAATAACCTTAAATTTTCTTTACCCTCATCACTCTCCCTAAATACAATATCCTTGAATTTCATGACGTTCCGCTTTCATGCCCCAATTACAACTTATTCTACTCTCTTCCCCTTTCTTACTGTGCTTCTAACAACTTGCTCTGTCACCTTCTAACCAACACCCTATGATCGTATCCCCGTTGCCCCTCTTTCAAGATAACACATCCAACTGGGGCGCACATCAAACAAATGAAAATCATTCAACTAAAGATCAAATGTCAAACCTACATCAACTGGCCCAGCTTTTTTTTTAATGGATAAATCAGGTCAAATGCAGAGATTTAAATATTTATGCTGTCTCATTTAATGTACTTAATGAGTCTTCCTGATAGCTACATTACCAATCCAAACAAGAGACTGGGAATTGAAGGCCACTTACTCAACTTGAAACCTTTAAAAGATACGTTATTTCTATTTTTAGGAGAAATGATACACGTTCAGGAAAGTATGGTAAAGGTGAAAAGATACGGATTCTGGTGCTGCTACTTCTTCAGCTTTCTCATCTTTTCTCCTCATACATGGAGGGAGATATATAAGCATCAGAAATACATTACCAACCTGTTGTTTCATCGAGTGCCTCCATCCAATCTTCTGGAAGGGATACAGCTGATGGAAGTTGCAGATCAAAAGAGGAGTCAGAGGGCCTTTCCCATTGACTCTTCCCAGTACTTTCATTATAATAATACAAAACACCACTATCAGGGTCTTTAGCCTCCACCTATGCAGAAAACACATGCAATTTTATAAAGAAGAGGTCTGAGAACATCTTCATATTTTATTGAAATTGTTAAGAAGAAAATAGAACTGTCTACACAGAAAAAAAGAACATCTTCGCTTCGTACTTCAGAGATTATGCCCCTCAATGTCTATATCCCCAAATTGGTGTGTGTGCTATGCAGAAATAGTGAAGAAAATCAAACGCATCTCTTCCTGGAATGTGATTTTGTTGCTGATTGATGGATAAAGCTGCTGAATTCTTTCAAGCCTTGGGTATTCCCTAAAAATGTTGCAGAAGCTTTTGATCAATTTGTGAAGGGGACTTACTTTAAAGGTCAGCCAATACTCCGTATCGTGGGTTTTTTTCCTTTTGCAAATCATAAGGCAAAATATACCCTTTAGGAGTCGATAATATTTCCAGTACAAGAACCAAACCCAAAATCCTAAGGTCGCCTCGCCAACAACATTATTTGATACAAGGAAATGACAAAAACAATCTTATCATGGCAAGTGCTGCCTCAACCCCATAAGTGTGGCTTTTCATCATTCTTCCAAGTCCTTTCATTTCCCAGGCTTAACTGCTTTAGCAAACACCACTAGTGTGACATTGGCATAACCTTTTGTAATCTATAATCACATTGATAAAATTGATACTGAATTAATATGATTTTTGCAACTATAGCACTACGTTTACAGGATATAACATAACTAATATTATATAAACGTATGATTTATTAAAATGAATTAAGTTTAGTATAATTGTTTATCAAGTACATCATAGAAAAATTAGTTAAACCAACATTGTCTTCTATATAATAAACACCCATCAATTGATATCAAATGAAGTAAACCTAACTTGCAAGTTGCAATAGGTAACTCTAACATAAGCTTGTAGAGTGAAAGAGAACATTATATATAATTGGTAAAGAAAATGCACAAAGTACACACCCATCCACGAGGCAGCTTATCTCCTTGCACTGGTTGATTTGAAATAGCATCAGAATTTGTCTGTAATTTAAGGTTCAGTTATTGTTTGCACAACAAGATTAAGAAAGAAGCACAAGAATAAAGAATATGCAAAAGCCGGTTTAACTATAAATGCTATCAGAAGTCAGATTCTAGACATCCAAAAAATGACACGAAAGGCTATTTGTAAATCTGGACAAAATATTAGGTGCATAGTAAATCTGTTTTATAAAAATAAGAAAGGAGAAAAACGGAAGTACTTCCTCATCAGGGAGAAAAAAAAAATGTTAGTTAACTGGGCCAAGTTAGTCTGTGGCAAAATAAAATAGAAGACTAAAACACATCATTTCCAATAATCACTAAAACAGGAGAAAAAGATGGACAAAGAAGTATTGGGAAGTTTGGCATATCAGTTCTTACAGAATTTCTTTTTTGTGTATCTTCTTTAAGAATACCCCTGGCTCTTAGCTTCTGCTTGAGGTACTCGGGCAATTCTTTAGTAGCAGAGTTTTGTTCTGCTTCCGTAACCTGTCCCTGGATTTTCCAGCCAATCGCATTATTTCCTGAAAGCATGACAAGAATGAAATGAACCAATTTGGAGATCAAAGTAGAAGTCAAGCAGAAGGAGAAAGTTCTTACCAGGGGTTACAATTCCAGGCTTTGAAGCACCATAGAAAGCACATCCACCAGGTACGCCATAACCATTTCCAATTTCCAAGTTCCCTGACATGTCACATGACAAAAAGATATTATCTCTTTGAAAGGGTAAAATAAGAACACTCACATATATGTTGAGTTTTTTAGTTTTTCCAACATAGAATAACAATGTATCACAGTATCAATGACAAAAGAATAGTCATAGATCTGCTGATTTTTTTAGTTAGTGCAAACTGGTCTTTGCACTTCCAAAAAAAATTAATGTGAGTGGCCAGAAAAGGTTCTTTTAGAGAAAAAAATTCAATGATGTAAATGAAATAACGTAAATAATGCCAAGAAGTTAACAAAGGTTCTCCAGCTGGCGTCAAGGGAGTTGCACAAAAATAAGAGCTACAAGCCACACAAGGAAAAGAACAAGAACAAAAGGAAACATAAGTGAAATCCTGAATTTTCAATAAACAATATTATTGAGAATATTTTGAACAAAATGAGTTGAAACCCAAAAGGAGGAACTGAAGCATGCAATATTTCAGTCATCTTCCAACTATACTCGTTTGTTTTTTTATATCTGTGAGTATCCGGGTCAGCTTGAACGCACCTCGACTAATCTCACGGGACAAGTTGTTAAGGAAACACATAGGAAATTAATTCCTAGGTAGGTGGCCATCACGGAGTTTGAACTCATTCCCTTTAAATCCTTTTGATTTACCTTGGCCCCTTTGGACAGGAAATGGATATTTAATCTTCCAGCTAGAACTTACAACAAACTCAACCAGAAAAAGTTTGCCCCTATCATTATGGTGAGAAAACTATCAGTTGACCTTAAAGGCGGACCTGAACTATTAACGTTGAAATGGACACTTTTGACTCAAAAGTTTGTCCCTATTTCTTACCAAGCTCAGGCGCACATTTTTTTTAGCATTCCAATTGTTAACCACTATTCCAACTGTTGATTTCATGTATTTTTACTAAATAATTACAATTGGCGTTAAAGACTCATGAAGCTATAATTACAAAACAACTTGCTAATAAGGCACCAAGAAGCAAAAGTATGAACAACTTCCCAATAGCAAATTATAGAGTTTTCTTTGCCTTTGAAGATTCTTTCATTCCTTTCATACCACATCCTCCAAACCGTGACTACCACTACATTACGTCAGATAACGAGTACTTCTTTTTTAGGAGAACCAAAAAACAGCTGAAAAAAGGCCTCTTTACAGCTGGAAAGCACCAACTCAACCCAAACTCTGAGTGCTAAGGACCACACTGTTGCAGTAAACTCACAAAAGAAAAAGATACAGGCATGAGATTCCATCTCTCCTTTACATAAAAGGCACGAACCAGGAGATGAGGCCAGATTCGGCCTTTTAGCTTGCAATGTATTGCATGTATTTAACTTCTCTTGGACGAGGATCCAAATAAAAACCTTCACTTTTTTGGGGACTTTTGAACTCCATAAACATGGGATGAACTCATCGGGAAGCACACTACACTGCTCCGTAAGATTATCCATCAAAGATTTCACCGTAAAACTCCCACCACTACTTAAACTCCAAACTCTATAGTCTTGTCTCATGGATGGCCTTAGTGGGGATAAAACTTGCAGCAAAGTGGACCACTCCTCAACCTCTTCATCTGTAAGATTCCTCCTCGATCTAAGAGTCCAAGATCGAGACTCCTCACACCACAAGTGACTAACCATTGCCTCCCAGCTTAGTAGATTATTATCCTAGTTTATTTATCTAGTAATACATCTCACCTCTACGTACGGTAATTAAATCAAAGAAATGAAGATCAAAGAGTTGACTTGTCGATAAACTAGTCTAATACTCCGAGGAACAGTGATTAAAAAGGAGCGTCTAGGTGAGGTGATTTTAATGAGGCGCGCAAATGAAGCCCTGAAACGCAATAACGTGGGCTTCTTTAATAAAAAATATAAAAATAAAAAACTAAAGCCCTAAATGCATAAAATCTTGTGTTTAGGGTTTGTTTTTTGAAAACCCCAATGCTGCCGTTTTTATGTAAAACACAGATGGCAGAAGATGGAAATATTTTATTGTTTTTGTCTTTTTCTTGGAAAGGATCTCAAAAGTCAATAATATTTCACGATTTTCTTTCTCTCCAGTTACCCATTTGGCGTTTCTTCTCTTCTTTCACATGCACGAAAAAGAATACAGTCTTCTTCACTAAACTAAACCTCCAGACATAGCAACTCCAGCCATAGCAGCTCTACTCTGCCTCTCTCGATTTTCCTCTGCAATTTTTTCATCCCTTAGCAAGCAATTCGACAGCAGGCCTCCAACACCAACGGAAGCTCTCTTTCTCTCTCCTTTCTTCAATTTCTATTTCTCAAACAATCTTCTTTCAATTTTTATTAATCAAACAGTAGCTCTCCCTTCTTTCAAATTCTCCAATCAACCAATCCAACAGTAAGCTCTTGCTCTCTCTATTTTTTACTTTCTTTCTCAGGTTCTCTCTAAAACAGCCCTCTCTTGATCAAAGAACGAAGAAATCTTATACCCGATATTGATAACCAAGATTTCAATATGGATGATGAAGATAAGGATGATTTGATTATAACTAGGTCGAGTAAAAGGTTGTCTTCCAGTCAAAGGCCAAATTTAGACCCTTTGAAGCCAAGACAGAATGGTCCGATCGATGCATTTTTTACTCCTAATCCAGAGACAGTAGTTCTGAATCGAAAGAATGAGAAAGGCAAACAAACAACACTAAATGGAGCCTACAAAAAGACAATGAGGGAGCGCACAGTACAAAGAATTGCACGATGGTTTTATGATTCCGCTATTCCTTTAAATGCTTGCAATTATGAAAGCTTTGCTTCATTGAAGCAATAGGACAATTCGGCCCTGGATTAAAAGTACCATCTTATTATGAGTTTAGAGTGCCGTTGTTGAAAAAAGAGTTATCAACGGCACATGAATTGAGAAAAGAGTGGGCCAAGGTTGGATGTACTATCATGGTCGATGGATGGACAGATAAGAGAGAGAGAGGACATTAATTAACTTTCTAGTTAATAGTCCTAGAGGCACAAAGTTTATTGAGTCCATTGATGTTTCATCTTAGGTAAAGAATGGAAAGAAAATGTTTGAGCTACTCAATGATTTTGTTGAGCGCATTGGAAAAGGCAACGTCGCACCTGTCATTACTGATAGTGCTTCAGCAAATGTAATGGCAGGTGAGAAATCAAATTCCTTGCTTCTCTTCAAATTAGTCTTATATTAAAAATTTCAAGGAGCCTAATATGATCTCTTTTATGTTATTTTATTACTAGGGAGATTATTAGAAGCAAAACGACCAAATTTATTTTGGTCATCATGTGTTGTCATGTGTTGCGCATTGCTTGGACTTGATGTTGGAGGACATATTCAAGATCTCAAATATCCGCAACACACTGAAAAGAGGCATGGAGATCAGTAGGTTTATTTATGTTCGACCAGGATTGTTAAATATGATGAGGCGATTTACGAATCAAAAAGAGTTAGTTAGGTCAGCTAAGTCTCGCTTTGCCACAGCTTGCATAACATTATCAAGCATACATCATTAGAAGAATAACTAGGCAAGCGAGTTGTTCAGACAATATTGATGGCATCATTTTGGAATACAATATTGTGTGAACAACTTGCTTGCCTTGATGTTCCTTGCTCCATTTGCTATTCTTCCACTAATCAGAAGTAAACACCTTCCTCAAGTTATTCTTCTAATGATGTATGCTTGATAATGTTATGCAAGCTGTGGCAAAGCGAGTCTTAGCTGGCCTAACTAACTCTTTTTGATTCGTAAATTGCCTCATCATATTTAACAATCCTAGGCGAAGAAAAATAAAATTATTGATCTTCATGCCTCTTTTCAATGTGTTGCGGATATTTGAGATCTTGAATATATCCTCCAACATCAAGTCCAAGCAATGAGGAGCACGTGGCGACCAAAATAAATTTGGTCGTTTTGCTTCTAATAATCTCCCTAGTAACAAAATAACATAAGAAGAAAACATATTAGGCTACTTGAAATTTTTAACATAAGACTAATTTGAAGAGAAGCAAGGAATTTGATTTCTTACCCGCCATTACATTTGCTGAAGCACTATAAGTAACGACATGTGCGACATTGGCTTCTCCAATGCGCTCAACAAAATCATCGAGTAGCTCAAACATTTTCTTTCCATTCTTTACATAAGACGAAGCAGTAATGGACTCAATAAACATGGTGCCTTTTTGACTATTAACTAAAAAGTTAATTAATGTCCTCTCTCTCCTATCTAATGGACTCAATAAACATTGTGCCTTTTTTACTATTAACTAAAAAGTTAATTAATGTCCTCTGTCTCCTATCCGTCCATCATCCGTTCATTCATCAGCCATGATAGTGCATCCAATCTTGGCTCACTCTTTCTTGTGACTCTTCATCAACTCATGTGTCACTACTAACTCTTTTTTTTCAACAACAGCACTCTAAGCTCATAATAAGATGGTACTTTTAATCCAAGGTCGTATTGTCCTATTGCTTCAAGCATATAAGCAAAGCTTTCATAATTGCAAGCACTTAAAGGAATTCCGGAATCATAAAACCATCGCACAATTCTTGTACTGTGCGCTCCCTCATTTCCTTTTTGTAGGCTTCATTGAGCGTAGTTTGTTTGCCTTTCTCATTCTTTCGATTCACCTTCTATCTTGGCTTCTTAGGGTCTAAATTTGGTCTTTGACTTGAAGACAACCTCTCACTCGAACTAGTCATAATCAAATCATCCTCATCTTCATTATCCATACCAAAACGTTGGTCATCAATATCAAGTATAAGATTTCTTTGTTCTTTGATCTCCTTTTTCTTTGACATGTGTTCCTTAACTTCTTCCTTCACACGATTCGGACATTTCTTGCATGCCGTTGTATTAAATACAACGGCCAACAAGATGTTTCACCCTATAAACTCCTCCTTTTGTTATTTTGGAACAAAAACTACAAATAAATGTAGTCATATCTTGAGGATTTGCCAAACTAGCATACGTCCATGCCGGATCTTTTCTTGGGCCTTCGTTAGACATCTAAATT